AGGGGCTGCGTTTTTACGGTGAAGCCGCACACTCCACTGGTCTCAGGAATGTGGTGCGCAGTATTCTCAAGCGTTTCATGTCAGACTGTCAAATACTATTCTTACGTCTCAACCTTGCGTGAACGAGGCTACAATCCTTCCCATGTCACATCCACTATTGGATGTGTCTTCCGCCAGCCCATGAACCAAAGTGATCAGAAATATGACCGTAAGACTTTAAACTTCACTCTCACATTACTGAAAAATGAGCACCATGGAGAGATACGAACGGTACGTAAGATTACCATTGCTATTAACGAGGCGGGAAGATGAGCTGTTTGAAAAGTAGAGAACCAGGATGGACACTAAGGGAGAGACATGGTAACGGGGCACACTGCAGGAGAAGGGAGAAGAGGAGTGGTGACGAAGAGGCAGATATATGCAGCTCAACAGCGAAACAAAGGGCCGTCGGGTTCACAATGTATAATTCTGATACCGACTAATTAAAATTTCCCTGTTAGTAATCGACTAATAACGGCCCACAAGACCGTTCTCGAAGCTATGACTCGAAACTTGTTTTACCTACTTTCAGCTTTACTGTAAAAACACTAAATCATTGTAACCAAAAGGACCTCGCCGAGACCAAACTATTCATAAACCCTCAATATATAATAATTTTTATTTTATAAAAAGTGTTTAATAGTATCCCGCGCGATACACCTTGTCAGCGGTTGTCTGGTGTAAAGGTCACATGTTGACACAAGGTCTACGTCAGGATACAAGTGTCACCAGTGTGCAGGTAGCTAGTGGCAGGCAACACAAGTGTGCAGGCAACCCATGAGCGAGTGTAGACGAGGAAGTGCAGTCAAGCACCACACTCGGACGCCTGACAGCCCATTCAAGTACGCTTTCAGTTGCCAAGAATTGTACGCCAATACAATTCTTGGCATACATCTCTTAATATAAACATCTGTACGCATCCAAGTGCTTCTCGTTCAAGTGTCCACCAACCACAGCCACAGGTGCCTGCCGCAACACACATGCGCATCTCCTCCCAGAGTGAAAATGTCCCAGAGCGAACTATAGTCCTGCTAACAATTATCGGCATTTACGGCAAATGTTTTTTGCTGACGGACTAGTCAGAGCGTTTAGCCAGCACGTGCCTAAAACAAATGGCTAAATACTCGTTAATCCCTTGTTTATAAATGACAAACAATATGCACACACCTCGCTTGATTACGTCTGAAGTTTCATCGAACAGTGCTTCGCTCACTTCTAAAGTTCGAAACGCACTATTTAAATGTTCCAAAAACACGTACTGTAAATACAAATAATTGTCAATAAAACCAAAACACTTAATCCAGAGCAGATTTAGCTAGACTGAAAAAATTTAATAAATTTATAAAGATTAATATATAAATATATAAAATATATTATATATAATTATATATGCGGAAAATTCACAGAGAAATGGAAAAGAAAGAAGAACGTTTCGGCCGATCAAGGCCGTTGTCAACATCAGTTGACAACTGGTGTTGACAACAGCGACGCTGTGGGGTCCCTTCGAGGGGCGGGCGGGCCCGGCCCCTGCCGCCCGTCCTCGCCCGTGACCTACTCAGAGAGTCTGGGTCTCATCGTGACCTTGACCCCCCTCAAGAAGGTTCAGAACATTGGCACGACGTTTCCACACCCGACAGATGATATCTGCGAGACCTCCGAGGCACTGAAGGTGTTCATCAACGCTCACAGACACTACAAGAATACTGCGAACTGTCATAATACTGTTTAAAAAGAGGTTTAAACTATGGAGGAGAAAGCAGTCTGTTGGCAAATGCTGTATCTAAAACAATACGCATCTATTTACGCATTTTTAAGCACTAAAATAGTCTTTTTGAAAAGTAACAAGTCTCAAAAACTATGATAGCAACCCCTTTTTCCAACATGGGGATTTTTTTTTTTATTTTAAAATGAATAAAAGAATGTTTGAAAATCCATTTAAGTAATTAGGTACTTGCATGCAAGGAAGTGGACGCCACAATGCTGACGGAGATGTCTAGCAAGTCCATCTATCTGAGGTGTCAGTTTGGTTTACAACAGACACGTGCGTCGAATTACACAACAGAAGACGGACATATATTTTTTTTAGTTTAAGATAGTGAAAAGGATAGAAAACATTACCTCAAATCTTTGCTTCAAGACGTTTAATGTTGCACAAAGAAAAGGTTAAACTTGAACCTTGCTAGTCCACCTTCCGTATCAATATCGAAATGTCTTCTCCAGAGGAGCTGAGGGAGGCTGGTTCCACCCCATGGGACACCAAGGTGTTCTCCCAGTATTATGCACCAGCAGCTTTCAACTTTTAATACAACTACACTATAACATATCAGCCGTAATGGCGGAGGATGGAGGAGGGAAGAGAGGGAGGGAGCCATGTGGGGAGGAGGGAAAGGGGGGGGGGTGGAGGATGCCCGGATGTTTATAAATATATATCATATCAAAGTCAGTCTGTATGTTTGTTTGTCAAAAGTTGCAGGTCAGAAACTTAGTCGTAGCTCTACCCAATTTGACAGAAATAAAGGTCTGGGGTCCGGGATGAACATAGGCTGGTCAGAGTCACCACAACTCAAGAGAGACCAGCGTGCCAGGGTCACATTTAGACCCCCACCTCGATTTTGCAACATTATTTACTGATGCCGGGAAAATTAACAAAATATTTCTGATAATCTTATTTCAGTCGTAGCCCGGTAAAACACGTTAGTTAATAACAACCGCCATTCCCCCCTACACCAACAGAAGGCTGAAAACACACCTTCACGTAGCTACAAATCCGATGAGTGACTATTTAAAAAAGAAATCCTTAAAAAAAGAAATCCTTTTAACTTTAGCCGTACTACCATAAACACACAACCTCAATATTGCTTCCTCTCCTCCTGATCACCGCATAATAACGGTTGGCTCTACCAACTTCCCAAAATCCACAAAGCATTGGGTTAACTATTTAATTTTAAAACTAAAATATTTAACAAAATTTCTAAGAGAGAGACAAAGAAAGGTACAGAGGTAATGAGATATATATTATATATATTATATATATATATATTATATATATATATATATATATATATATATTATATATATATATGAGTGAGAGAGTAAGATTGAGAGAGAAGGAAGGGGAGGGACAGACATTATCAGAGACAGATAGACAGTAAGTAGATGGCTGAATAAATAATGGATATAGATAGATGGATAGACAGACTGGTAGGTGGATATATGGATAAAGATATGTGGATAGATAGATGGATATAAGGAAGGGAACTATGGAGAGGAAAGCACCAAGCCATTACGACTATATAACACTTGGAAGGGATCAGGATAAGGATTTGGGATAGGACGGGGGAAAGGAATGGTGTCCAACCACTTGGACGGTCGGAGATTGAACGCCGACCTGCATGAAGCGAGACCGTCGCTCTACCGTCCAACCCAAGAGCTTGGTATGGATAGAGGGAGATATAGATGTAGAGATAGATGAATGAATAGATAGATGGACAGATAAATAGGTAGATAAATGAACGAATGGGAGAGAGAGAGAGAGAGAGACAGACCAGATCAACGGACCATTCAAGCTTTATCACGTGTCAATAAATCCCTAAGTATGACCCCGATAAGTCTCCTAACCAGCGCTACCAGGAACGTACCCACGTGGTGTACACAGTACCCCAGTGGTGTACACAGTACCCCAGTGGTGTACACAGTACCCCAGTGGTGTACACAGTACTGATACCACTCCACCAGCGACTGCATAGTGTATCACCACTGTGTACGCCAATGAGGTAAGCCCTGGTAACGCTGGGTCGAAATCTAACCATAAGGATCATAAGAGTTCTTAGTATTGTAGTGACTTGGGAACCATTCAAGCTCACTCATATATGTATATATGTGCGGTCGTCACCCATCAACAAACTACCACAACCGTCGTCGCCGCCACACGGGACTATTTCCACAACTGGCCCCAACACACCCGCCAGGTTGTGTGGCAGGTAAAGTGACGACCAGCGCCACTCTTCTGAACACTTGTTATGAAGAAGCAAAGTGATCCCACTAGATCTCTGGAAGCGTGACGTTAGGACTGCACACTCATGCACTTTCTTGGCACGCTGGACGCACTCTGTACCTGCTAATGTGTTTATTATCTAATCAAGTCCGTGGAGAGGGCAAAGGAGGAGGAAAAGGGAGTTAAAGAAAGAGGAGAGGGATAAGAGAGTAAAGGAAGAGGAGAGGGATAAGGAGAGTGAAGAAGGAGTGGGGGTAGGGAGGAGAGTTGTCTTGCAGTGCACGGACCGGTGCAGTCACCCACAGTGCGCGCGTGTGTGTGTGTGTGTGTGTGTGTGTGGTCTGTCGCTTTCTCCGTTTATCTTCCCTTGGAACGCAGAGGAGACTCACAGGTGCAGTTGACGGTGGGCCGGATTACCGTTACTTGAAGTACAGAAAACAGTTCACTCGTCTCATCTGGATCAGGAGCGTCACTTGTCAGCGCGGGAAAGTAAACACTGTCCGTTGTCTTAATTACTAAACTAACACTGTGTATCACGGACGCAGTAATGAGCACCTCGGTGTTCCAACACAAAGCTCCGAACACGCAGTATACTGTTCATATCAAAGTAAAATACTGTAGGAACATCTAGAGAGAGGTCATTGCACTTGTTTCACAGGAGGTCGTGCAGCTACGTGGCTCCCTGCGTCAGGAGACAGCCACCACAGGAGTCGTCTAAGTATGTAACAGGAGTGGCATTCCCCCGTGTGGAAGCCCACAGCGTTACAAGTCACATCACTCGGTGGAGTCTTAAGGCAGATACTTTTCACAAGATGGTGTGTGGGGACGTTGGTGTCCAAGGTACTGGGGGGTGCCACCGAGCCTGGTGCAAGATACAACTCTACTTGGTGTGGAGGGCGGCTCAGGGGCCTCGTCTCCAGCAAAGGTAGAAGCAGCAGCGACAGGTAACATGCAGCACTTGACCTACCTGGTGGTGTGTTGCGAGCAGAGTGTCGGCCAGGCAACATGGGGTCGCCATTATAATGTTGGGCCGGCGTTACTTTCACTCTCGCTCACTACCGTGGTACCCGTCTCGGGTAGGTGAGGTGCCTCGCCCCTCACCCACCCTCCACCTCCTCAGTGCCCCTCACTCACAAGCTGCTGGTTGTCCTCCCGTGACAGGTAAATCAAACTGCCGCGAGAGGCGGTGATTGGCGGCTGCCACAACAGTTTATCGAGGATCTAGTTGTACAATTGGCTTCGTTCCTTGCTCACAATTGCGGGATCACGGGTTCGATTCCCGAGATAGAAATGGATTGGGAACGTTTCCTTTCACCTAATGCCTCTATGCACGTAGCAGTAAATCGGTACCCCAGGAGTTAGGCAATTGTTGTGGGTTGCAGTCAGTGAGGGTCAGTAGTTCGACCTTGGAGGAGACCTCATTATATTATATACCAGCCCATCCTCCTGTTTCGGTAGTACTTATAGTAACGATGAGGACCATAGTACATATACCGACCTACAACGAAATTAGAAAGTAGAAATCGGCACTATTGAGTTGGACAAACCGGAAAAATATTTTCTACTTATGTTGCAAAGACAAATTAAACTATATAGACAAATTAATATATATCAACAGAGGGTTTGCCGGCTGATTGGCATCACTTTTGACCTTTGTAGATGAGGGAGGAGTGTTTACAAAGGTGCGATATGAACAGATGACGTCAGTAAAGTACTTCGAGAAATGTTGAACGTCATCAGTTTTGCTTCATATGCAAATTATTTTTCATTCATAGATATGGGGTTTGGTGTCAGGAGTAACGAGTATTGGTGTATGGGAACGGGCTGTTAAACACGACTCACAACTGATTACCTTCCAACTTCTCTTGAACAGTGTTGTGCTTTCTTCCTGAGTTAGAATGTCAAGTCTCTAAATGCTTCACCCACGTCAGCCCGTCCTTATCAACAAAGGCTAGAAGTTCGTTTATCCAGCCGCCAAACTCCATGTTTACGCAGCCCGTCCTCTAAACAAAGACCCAAAAGACCATTCCATACACCCGCCAACCCCCTGTTTGTGAATGAAAAACGGTTTACACACACGACTCGCAACTGATGACGTTCGAACACTTCCGGAACAATTGCTTCACTGAAGAATTTTGTTCCAACCACAACGCTGTAAATGCCTCACCCACGTACTACAAATACAAATAATCGCCAACAGAACCTAAACACCTAACCTAACCTATGCCTATATATGCACAATATGCTAATATATAATAATATTAATTTATTTTTGAGAAAATTCCCGTTTTGAATGAACAGCATGTTAAAATTTACGAATGCGTCTGTGTGGTCGACCGCTGGGTGTAATGGACTTGAGTCGAGGACGGGTTGGTAAATGCTTCACCCACGTACTACATATACGAACAATCGCCAACAGAACCTTAACACCTGACCTAATTTAACCTACGCCTAACTATACATTGAATTTTAATGAATAATAATATTAATTTACATATGAGAACAAGCCTAATTTTAACACAAACAGTATGCAAAAATGTATGAATATTCACGTTTTCTATGCATTGGCTAAGTTAGGTGGGCTGATTGGGCTCGTACGCTCCTGGGGCCAGATTCACGAAAGCACTTACGAACGTGTACATCTTTCCTCAATCTTTGACGGCTTTGGTTACATTTATTAAACAGTTTACAAGCATGAAAACTTGCCAATCAACTGTTGTTATTGTTATAAACAGCCTCGTGGTGCTTCGGAGCTCATTAACTGTTTAATAATTGGAAACGAAGCCGCCAAAGATTGAGAAAAGATGTACAGGTCCGTAAGTGCTTGCGTAACTGCTTCGTGAATCTGGCCCCTGGTTAGATTAGCACTTTGTATTATGGACGTTGTGGAAAAGCAAGAGAACGAGCTGCACACAGATACCTTACCTTGAGGTGCTTCCAGGGCTTAGCGTCCCCGCGGCCCGGTCGTCGACCAGGCCTCCTAAGATGGGTTAGAGACGTCAGTAACAGTTCTTTCCATTTTTTTTTTTTTGGTCATTACAATTTACTGCTCCTGGCTGGGGGGTACTAACTTCTTCCATCACCTTTCGTATTACCTGAAACAAGTTTGTCCACAGAGTCACCACCACACTGCCAGGTACACAGTTGATCACATCTTCCTTATGCAGGCGATGAGTCACAATAACGTGGCTGAAGTATGTTGACCAGACCACACACTAGAAGGTGAAGGGACGACGACGTTTCGGTCCGTCCTGGACCATTCTCAAGTCGATTCCACAATCGACTTGAGAATGGTCCAGGACGGACCGAAACGTCGTCGTCCCTTCAACTTCTAGTGTGTGGTCTGGTCAACATCTTCCTTATATCGTGGCACCATAGTTCCCCTTGTTTCTCCCCTGGGGTCACACCTGGGGCCACCACTACCGCCCTGGGGTCACCCCTGGGGCCACCACTGCCGCCCTGGGGTCACACCTGGGGCCACCACTGCCGCCCTGGGGTCACACCTGGGGTCACCACTACCATCACAGGGACAACGCCACAGGGTGGAAGAGGCCAGATGGACAGAGCTTCTGTCATCCATAGAGGGTTCTGCTGCTTACAACTCTGTTCCCTCATTGTTCCCCTTGAGCTATAACCTATAGCCGACGACATATAATACGGAGGTCTTCACCAAGTGTCACCCATCACAACTGCTCAACTAAAAAAAAAAAAAGAATGAAGACAAAATGAAGCCACTCAGTAAATATATAAGAAGGGAAAGGCATTTAACCTATGAGTCGTGGCCTTACCTACTAATGCGGCTTTATCTGACGTATTCTGAAGGTCCTTTTTTATGTCCTTTCTTTCTCACAAGTCCTCACTTCTATTCTGCAAGTGTAGTCAAGGTCAGCTTAGCTTTGTCGTACAGTGCCTGTAGTTGACTGTAGTGAGTCTTGTGTCCGCAGGGAGACAACAGAACCCTGGAAAGTAGTGTTGGAACACGACCTTACACACACACATCGCCAAAGCAGAACTTTCCACTTTCATACTGAAAACTGTTTTCTTGCACCTCTGTGTTTGTTTACTGTAAGACTACTGACTGGGAACGTAGCATGAAATCCAGCCGTAGGCCAGTTAAATGAGACAAAAGCTGCTCAAGAGGGTCCTAAGAATCTTGCTGTCTTAAGAGGTAACTTGGGAAATCTATAGAAATAAAACCACCGTGGCGTGGCTTGTGACCAGTTAGTCAGGTTATGGGCAGCACAGGATGGGTGACCGCGCGGACAGCCTCTCCCTTAGCTACGGGGACCTTAGTAAAACATAACACACTTACGATATATCTTCAACATGGCAGAAAATACCCAAGATAAAAAAACGAATTTGAGCGTAAAACAATGATGAAAATGTGTGTTTATTGTCACCAGCGTTCAGGAGCCACCACGACGCATCTGTGAACCCATCACTTGTTTGCTTCTCCCTCACACTCACACCTACAACAAGGTCGAACTCCGGCCGACACTCACACCTACAACAAGGTCGAATTCCGTAAGAGACAATGTAGTCGTGAATGTGTGTGTGTGTGTGTGTGTGTGTGTGTGTGTGTGTGTGTGTGTGTGTGTGTGTGTGTGTGTGTGTGTGTGTGTGTGTGTGTGTGTGTGTGTGTCTGTGTGTGTGTGTGTGTGTGTATGTGTGTGTATGTGTGTGTGTGTGTGTTCTCACCGATTGCTTCTTACTTAACCGAGTTTGTAGGGTCGAGTTTCACCTCTTGGGACCCGCCTTTCCAACAATCGTTCGTTGCTTAAAAATGACTCAAATCCCTGTGGCCCACCAACAGATCTCCCTCACATCTCTATCCACCACTTCCCTTCCTTTAACTCCTTCTTTCCCCCAGTTTACTCAACTGCTTCATGCATGCATTATGCCAACCATCACAGCCTAAGAGGTCATCGTCCAGTGAAAGTATTCCCACTACCCCCCTCTTATCTATAATTTATTTTTTTTTGCATTTGTGCGAGGGCGGAGGAATTATAGGGAGTTAGTTGTGTTGAAGCATTTTCTAGGTAGAAGCCCAGTATATTTGTCGCCCTGGGTGGTGGTTAACTACGGTGACCCCCAGGGCTTGGGGTCACTCCCACCAACAATCACCGAGTGGGGTCATTCCCACCAACCATTCCCCCATGATTATCACTCCCATTAACCATCTCTCCCAGTACCCATCACCATGTATGGGGGAGTGTGCAGGGGTATATGGAGGGGGAGGAGGAGGAAGGGGTAGTGGGGTCACCATACACGTTCGTCTTTCTTAACTAGAATACCAGAAGAGGGAGAGAATGTGTGTTTAATGTAGGAAGTGCTTGGAGCTTGACTATTGTGGCTCGCAGTGTGCCAGGATGTAGACCACTCACACACAGACACACACACACACACACACACACACACACACACACACACACACACACACACACACACACACACACACACACACACACACACACACACACACACACGGTCTTGGAGGCCAAGACCGTCAGTAGTTTCAAAGCGTTATATGACAAAGAGTGTTGGGAAGACGGGACACCACGAGCGTAGCTCTCATCCTGTAACTACACTTAGGTAATTACACTTAGGCAAATACACACACACACATACTAAAGTTCAACCCGAGTAAATGTAAGTTAATGAAACTAGGCAGAAACAGACCAGACACAGGATACCGAATGGGAGATGAAGTCCTTCACGAAACGGACAGAGAGAAAGATCTAGGAGTTGATAGCACACCAAACCTGTCTCGTGAAGCCCACATAAAAGGAATAACAGCACCGGGTCGTTGTTTAGCCTCCCCCCCCCCTACTCATTATTTATTGAGAGAGAGAGAGAGAGAGAGAGAGAGAGAGAGAGAGAGAGAGAGAGAGAGAGAGAGAGAGAGAGAGAGAGACAGACAGAGAGACAGACAGACAGAAACACACACTGACTGGAAGGAGTCACATTGTGTAGAATCATTTACTGTTAAAATGGCTCGAGCTACACTTTACATCACAACTCCGTGGAAAAATGACCTTTCTTCTATATTGATATTAGCGGCATGATACCATTGTGAACATGACAGGGAGAGAGAGTGAGAGCTGGCCGGGTGTTGGCTATCATCCACTCCTTATTCCTGGCCTTTCACTCGTAACCTCCACTAAGA